CCTCCACCCAATCCTTTATGATCGCGCGAATCGTAGAACCCCCGGATCCATGCAGTTGAAGTTACAAAGGGAAGGAAATCGTCGCAGGAAAAATCGCTTAGTCGAAGAGACCGAAGCCCATGTCCTCGTCGGACTCCTCCTTCTCTGTAGCGGCTGTCAGTATTTGTTTCGTGCACAACTTCGTGTACATGGCTGTGGGATTTCAACGTACCCTCCTCCTTGGGTGCCTCCTCGGCGGCAGCCTCGGTAGCACCGCCAGCGGCAGCGCCGCCGGCAGCGGGGGCAGCAGCGCCACCACCGGAGCCAACGTTGGAGAGCAGGTCCTTGACGTCCTTGCCCTCAAGAGCCTATGTGAAATCTCAAATCAGCCTTCGATGTTCTTCCTCGAATCGGTGGAAAATATTGTCGTCGCGTCGTACCTTGGCGAACAGGGAGGTCCAGATGGGCTCGACGTCCTCGATCTTGGCAGCCTTGATCAGGGTCTGGAGCTTGTCGGCCTAAAAATTCCAACACTGTTAGTCTCGTTCCTTGTCGTGATATTTTGGTATTATTTGATGTGATTTATTTATTTTCGTGGCGGGGTGACTCGAGGGGCGGACGCACAGTGATCTCGACACCATCATCGGCGAGGATGAGGGCCGCGTAGGAAGAGGCGAGCTCGGCGGTGGACATTGTGACTGATTTGGGCGTTTGCGACTGGAGGTTGTCTTCGCGGATGGTGAGTGTGATTTGCAAAGGAGCAGTCAATATGGTATCGCGAGGTCATCCACCGAGTCAAAATTTGGCAGGGCTTTCAAGACCTAATGAACATTCGGCGGTTTCGGTTAAAGCCCGTCTGCAGTGGGTCTATCTTCAAGATCTGTGATTGGACACAGGTGCGAGCCAATAGGATCCCGGATCGACGGCCTGGGCATGCCTGCCCCGCTGCCGTCGGTGACACTTGGGTCATGCCCCACATCGATACCTCGATTTGACTTTCCAAGCAGGTCAGTCACCCCCACCTTCTCTATCAGAAGCGTCGCTGGTTGAGGTGCACCTTTCCATTGGTTTCCGGCCAAGCCAACGAGCGCATCATCCGCATTTTACTTACATACGCAATCCCATCTGCGCATCTTCTACGGATGCCACGGCAGCCCATTCTTTGTCACAGGCTTCTTACCAATACAACTCTGTTCACCAGCACACAACAACCCCAGTGCAACGGGGAATTATATACCTTACACTACCGACGATCGGACTTTAGCTTCCCGGTCCCGACCTGTGAATCACCTTTGGCCCCGCTATCGTGCTTCGTTGAATGTTGGATCATTGGCAGACCTGCAACGGTATCGACTTCCAGCGCAAAAGGTGCATGCCTTGGCCGTCCATGATCTCGAACACTCGGCAGTCGCCCATATTCCAGCTCTACAACCCTCCCAGCAACCAGCGCCCGTCTTGAGTTACGTCACGCGAGATGGATACCCCTACATGCCCCCCGCCGCGGGACGACCGCGAGAAGGAGATTCTCGATAAGCTGGTTACGATCCGCGACAGACTTCTGCTCCTGAAGCAGGATCGTACCACTTATATTCGAAGCCAGGACGTTCTCCCGCTCTACGAAGAGACGATCGAGCAGGTTCGCCTGCTCAATGAAGCCCGGACGTCTGACCGAAGGGAGGAGAATAGAGGTAACGCGCTATCGTCCCGACTGTGCGGGGTCAACGGCTAACCCGCGCTGCAGTGGACAGAGTCTTGGAGAGCTGCTTCCAACTACTTTCGCTCTTTTTCATGACCATCGGACGAAACAACGAAGCTCCAGCTGCCTATGCCCTGACCTCGACCGTCCGAAGATTGTTGGACCACCTCACCGAAGTCGACTTGTATTCCATCAAGGACTTGGAGAGCATCTCACACACCCTGACAAAGCTCGAGCAGAATGTCAAGACTACCGAGACCGAGTACCCTCCATATCTCATCACCCTGCTTTCGAACCGACTGGAGCTCTGTGACAAGTCTCTGGCAAACCTTCGGAAGCGATTGGAGCGATTCGAGGACCCCCTGCCAAAGACATATGAGAAGCTGATCTCTATCCTGAGATCCATGTCTCTAGCAAACACCCGAACAAAGGTATGGCCAGCGTCAAGAGGAATGTGACGCGACAAAGCTCACAGTGATACAGTTCTCGCCATCAGAGGTCCAGAAGCTGCAAGCTCAATTGCGGGAGATCGAGGAGAAGAGACAGGAGGGCAAGCTGCTGACTGCGGACGGAAAGACACCCGGCGGATTTGATGAGGTGACCGCTTTGCTGGAGAAATGCCTCTTGTGGTCTGATTTCGTTCTTCAGAGGTACGGGATACGCCATCGCCCATGATAACGTCTCTAACCTTTGCTCAGGAAAGGAGTAATTCCCGACTCTTTCAAGCCAACATACGACATCTTATTCCGCATTCGCAACGAGCTGGAGAAACTCTCGATCACGCAAGCATGGTCCCTTCGAGAGGCGGATCTCTTTGACTTCCAGAGACAGTTGGACAAGATCGACGAGAGCCGAATCGACGGCAACTGGGTGGATGACGAAGGCAAGCCTGCAGAGCTCTACGTTCAGCGTGTAAGTCGGACGAACCTATGTTTTTGACTGAGCTCCACTGACACCGACGACAGACGATGCTCTATCTCATCAGAAGAAGCTACGCCTACATCTACTCGTTGATGATTTCGTCAGAGCCCGTTTCCGAAGCCTTGCTGCCGATCTACAACCAGCTCCAAACACTCAAGCGATGTCTCATCGAGGTCAAGAACAGCGGCGGTGTGCAGTCCGTGAGAGAGCTGTACCCTTACAGCATGAAGGTATGATGTGCTTCATCAATAAGTCGAACCAGACTAACAATTCACTTGCAGCTGCACTCGATCGACAACATGCGTCAAGATGGCAAATTCATGATCAACGACGATATCCCGGAAGGGCAGGGCAGTGTAACGGAGCTTCTTGCTGAATGCTTCGAGCTCAACTATGAGCTCAGAGTCGCTGCTGAAGAGCAAGCTGAGGCTTGATGACGATGAGGAAGAGACCTCTTTTGTTTGGCGTAAACGGACTAGCGATTTGTATCATGTCGGTCTTTGTGGGGTTTCTCTTCTGGCCAGTGAAACTGTGATGGACGCAGTTTAATGGGAAATGGTTAAACGGGACGAGGCAAACTCAAGTGTACTCAATTATGGACCAATGACATGATTTCTTTTCACATTTGGGAACCTGGACTCGGAGCTCACTTTCTGCCAGAGATCGGATGGCACCTCAGATGGCTACAGAGTGATGGTCAGACGCTGCTCCCGACTCACGGGGGTCTGAAGTACATCACATCTGGTAGCACGCCAATTAGCCATGCAATATCGTGGAGTGGGCATGTTCAGGCCTAGAAGCTACACCGGGAGACTATCGAGACTGTAGATCCCTGTTCCCAAATATGCATGCCTTTTGAGAATGGCCAGGCTTCCTTCCCTTCTCTTGAAGGGCTATAGACAGGATGGCACTGCCTTTAATATTGGCGTGAGGTCGGTGCTCTACAGAGAGCCCGCAGTGGATGTTGATTTTCCATACTCACGTACCAGACTCCTGAGTTTCATTTAAGACAGTTGACTTTGGAAGCTCAATATGGCTTAGGGACCTTGGCTTCGTCTCGTTCGACAATGGCGATGTCACAAGAGGGAACACAAGTTGGTGTTCGGGAGGTAGCCTAACCTCGCAGCCGCTGGTCGAAAATATCTAGGTCGGACGCGATTTGAAAGGCAAGTACCTGACTGACACGGCCCCCAATCAAATATCTGGGACAGGTACGGAGTGAGTAGGTGAAAAGGTGGTGAAACCTCGACCGTGTTGTTGAGTCACCCAATTCCACCAAACCCCCAGTGCCATCGGGGCATCGGCTCCAGCTTTCCCACCCCGAGGGATCTTTATCACCTACCCCCGAAAATGGCGAAATTCCCGTCCTCCCCTCGGCCCAGCTCCCGAGCTCCTCTTCCTCCTCCCGAATGCAATTGAGAAGGAATTTAAAATGCTCCAGAAGCCAAGGGCCCCTCCTTCTCAACAGCGCTGGGGGAGAAATCCCGCCCGCAGCGGGGCAGACAGCTGGCTACAGTCGGTTCACGCCGGGTTCGCGCCATTCGCGCATTCGAGCTCAACCCCGAAGCTGGGGGGGGGGGGGGTCCAAGGTCCCGGTTTGTTGGTCTGGGTCAAGAAAGCTAGGTAAGGTGCTGTGTCATCACAGGGCAGCTTCTCAGCCTCTCTGCCCCCCGGGCGGCGCGAGCACCTCAATGGGGACCTGCGCCGGTCATCGGACCAGCCGAGACTTTCATTTTTTTCCTTCCAAGATCCCATCCCGACCACCCCGCTGCCATCTTGTGATGCACTTCCCGCTCCACCGAGGCAATTGAATCGATCCATATCAGGCCAGTGCCGAGCATAATTGCTGAGCTCTACATACCGGCGCAGCGACAGATGGGTACCTTATTTCGTACCTTACCTTGACTCGATGGGCAGTGCGGGCTTGCACAGCTCCGAGGTGAAGAGCGAAACGGCGAGACGGGGCGGAGTTGGAGCTGGAGGTGGGTGAAGCGGGCGGGCGGTCTCCACCGAGTTCCCGTATCTCTGTCAGTGACACTTGGGATCAGTCATATAATCACTCATCCACATATCGCGTGAGATGGGATTTCCGTCTTTGATATAAAAGAGGATTGGGAGGGTACTGAAAGAACCTGAATGTGTTTCCTATGATCTGTTACTACTTAACTTTACACAACTTACGACCAAATAAGCTTGACATTCCATCCCTTGCATCACACATCTGCAAGCCAGCACATCTCACCGATTGAGGTCTCACAGCTACATATCTCGTCTCACCTCGCCTTACACATCACACTACCTTACACCAGCAACTTAACCCCAAACTCTCATCAATAAAGCTACACATCAAACCTTCCATCTCACCACACATCAACACAACCTCACACAACCACCCAAAAGGCAAATGACAGTCAGGATGTCATCCACAGAAGACACCTCGGCGCACAAGCGCAACGCCTCGGCAACAAGCGCAGTCCAAACCACACCACCACCCGCAAAACGCCTTCCTCCTCCCACGGCATCCTCCTCAGTCGCTTCCTTGCCCCCATCTCGCCGCGAATTCCCCCACACAATCGCCCTCGTCCTCTACAGCGACGGCGGCGCCGACGGCGACATCGCAGCCGCCACGACCGTCATGGGCGCTTTCGCCGCGCTGGCGGACGCGAATGCCGAGGTGAGGAGGATATCGAGGGAGTACGCGGTCCACGGGGGCGACGGGATGCCGGAGCCCGCAGCGGACAACGCCGGGAAGGACGTGAATCCCGCGCGGTGGAATGGGCCTGAGGGGAACTCGTGCTGGGTCGAGCTTCATGCCGTGACGCCGAAGAGCATTGTGCCGAAGAGCGCGTCTGCGTCGCCGCAGCAGAAGCAGGGAGGCGATCAGCAGCAGAAGAAGCTCTACGACTCTGATGAGGGGGAGGATCCTGATCTTGATGATGAGTTGGATGAGGGCGGTCACTACGACTGAAGAAAGATGTCTCTTTCCGTTTTCTTTTTTCACGCTCGAGTTGTTTGGGATAGGAGGGCTCCTTGGGTTTTACGCCTAGGAAGGGTTGAAGTTCATGGCTGGCGAGACGAAGGCCCCATGAGTGTGCGGCTCTATCTGATGAGATTCATGAAGAATCGGTCAATTATTATGGTTATTACGTTACATGTATATGCGGCGGGGCGTTATTATAGATAGTGGAAATCCCTCTATTCTATCCTTCTTTCTAGGTATCTAAAATAACACACAAGATCTCTCTTCTCTCTCTCTACAGTGTCTTTCACGCCAGATGTATGTGAGGTCTACGAGAATACCCCTTTCTACTGTCTTACAATCATCTAGGTCCGCCATGAGCATGGCCGAATCTTTATGATTTACTAATCGGCTGGTCTACAACTTGGCCTTGGGGGCCTCTTGTTGCTGCATCTTCTCGGCGACGATGCGGCGCTGGATCTTGCCCGTTGCTGTCTTGGGCATCGTCTCGGTGAAATAAATCTGAGATCTTGTTAGTCTGAATTTCCAGACAATCTCATAAGAGTTTATCAACTAACCTTCTTGGGAACCTTGAACTTGGCCAGCTTCTCCTGCACCCAGCCCTTCAAATCCTCGCCCTTGAGCTGCTGTCCCGGCTTGAGAACAACGGCAACACCGATATCCTGACCGTACATGTCGTCGGGGATGGCGAAGCTAACGGCTTCGGAGACGGCAGGGTGGCGGGTCAAGACGTTGTCAAGCTCAATGGGGCTAATCTTCTCGCCGCCCTTGTTGATGAGCTCCTTGATGCGGCCCGTGATGACAATGTAGCCGTCCTCGTCCTTCTTGCCTTGGTCGCCCGTGCGGAAGAAGCCGCCCTTGGTGTACGACGAGGCGTTGGCGGCGTCGTTGTTGAGGTACCCCTTTGTGACGTTCTCACCACGAATGCAAATCTCGCCCTCCTGGCCCTGAGCGAGCTCGTCACCAGCGTCGTTGAGGATGCGCACGTCGACGCCCTGGCCGAGGCCGACAGTGCCGGGCTTGCGCTTTGCGGGCGGGAGGGGGTTGGAGGTCATCTGATGGGCAGCCTCGGTCATGGCGTAGGCCTCGAGGACGGGCGCCTTGTACGTCTCCTCGAGCTGGTGGAAGACGGTGGGCGACAGAGGGGAGGAGCAGGAGCGGATGAAGCGAATGGCGGGCAGCGGGCTGGGCGTCGGGTTCTTGAGGAGGATCTGGTGGATCGTGGGCACGGCGGTGTACCAGTTGGCCTTGTGGGTGATGAAGTCTCCCCAGAACTCGGTGGCCGAGAACTTGTTCGGGACGACCATGGAGCCGCCGCAGGCTAGGGGTGCGAGAAGGCCGCAGAGAAGGCCATGGACATGGAACAGGGGCATGACCAGCATAGTGCGGTCCTCGCTTGTAAGCTGGTATGTGTTCTGGATGTTCTCTATCACTGGTGTTAGCCTTGCATCTCAGCTCCTCTCTCCTGCGAGACTTGGACTTACTCATTGTTCTGGTCAGGTTGCGGTGTGTAAGAGGGACCTATACATGATGTTAGCTTTCCCATGTTCCTCAACTCTAAGTAGACCGACTACGACTTACAACTTTGGGTCTGGAGGTGGTCCCGCTGGTGTGCAGGACCAAGGCAACGTCGTCGGCCTCAGCCTTCAACACCTTCTCAGGCCCCTTGCCCTTGAGCTGCCCCAGATCCTTTACATCAAGCGCGACCTCCTTCCTGGCCTCATCCCAGTACGTCTCAGCGATGGCGGCGTTGAACTTCTTGGCGGCCTTGACGGCAGGTGCACCGGCGGCATAGGCACCCTTGGGAACCAACACGATGGCGGACTTGACGTCCTCAATGTAGAACTCAAACTCGTCCTGCTTGTAGGCCGGGTTCAGAGGCGCAGCGATGCCACGCTGCCATGAGGCGGCCAGGAAGGAGACGATGAACTCATATGAGTTGACGGTCGCGATGGAAACGGGCGAGGCCTTTGTGATGCCAATGGCGGCCAGCTTCTGCTGGAAGGCCGAGGTCTCCCTCACCAGGTCGCCGTACGTGGCTGTGAGAGCATTGGGCTTGGACGGCACAATGACGGCCGTGGAGTTGGCCGGGCCGTTGATGGCGGTTTGGAGAGTCAACGCCATCTTTGCGTACTTGACGTATGAATTTTATCTCTCACTCTATTGGATGACAGGGTGTGATTGTGCCTGACCGGACGGCAGTTGAAGAGTTGCAACCACCAGCGAATTCGGAGAAGCTTTTGGAGTAAGGTGAGGTAAGGTGGTGGACGATCAGATGAACTTGTCTAGACAAGGATAGAACCCAGAGGATTCGTCCGGGGTAGGCAATTAGGATATTCAAGGAGCTTGTGTGAGTGAGCCGTTCAACGGTAACAATCTTAGATAGAGGTAAAATACAAGTCTACGTTGGAAACAAAAGTTGAGGCACAATGGTCGACTGATAGGGAAACCTGACTAGGACGATGATGTGCTCGGGACCAGCCCAGCCTGGGACAAGCCGGATCACCCCGGTCGGCTTTTTCTTAGCCCGCTGCCACATTTGCCCACTGAAGTTGACTGAACCACTGTAATACCCGCCCTTCCCAGATCAACCGGTGGCTCGTCCCCCACGAAGACCCCCGAAGAAACATGGAACTGCGCTTGCGCGGCAGACTGGGCGCTGTGCCGGAACGCGCAGGGGTAGGTTTTCAGTGGCCCAGCGGTCATTGAGGTGCTGAAACCCAGGCGGCCAGGCTCCGCTTTACTGACGGAAGAACGGCAGCGAACCGGTGGGTTTGGCTGATTCGCCTTAGGTAAGCCCAGGTATTCGTATCCGTTCTTTACGTCAGGCACCTGGCACTTTAAGGTGCAATCTGCACATTGACATTCGAGGTGCGCTCCCCACGAGTGGGTCCATCAGGCAAGCTTCCCAGCAGCTTCAACTTCGCTGTGCGGAACCAGGCTGAACCTGTCTCGTCGTCTCTTTTGCGACGTACTCAACCCTCGCTGCTGGTACTCGCCCATCACGCAGAACACCTCTGATAACCTTCCACACGACCATTGACCACCATATCAATCCTTCAAAATTACCCCTCCGCGCCGAAAATAAGCTCAATGGCCGCGCCGCCGCCTCCACCTCCGCCCGCGCGAGGAGGCTTGTCGCTCTACGCAAACCTCCTTGACCCAGTCGCCGACCCCTCGGCCACGATCTCGAGCGCTCCCGTCCGCTACAACCAAGACGGCACGGTCGCCGACCCGAAGGATGGGACAGCTGTGAAAAAGCCCATAGACCCATGTACTACCGCCGCTCTCTAGACCATATTCTTCTTCAGGTTCACCAGAAACTTACCTCCCTCCAACAGCCCTCCGCTTCCAGCCCATACGCAGACCACAAGCAAAGACAGCGAAACCAAAGCCAAACTTCCCCAAGACGATACCAAGCGCGAACACGTTAGCCGCGGCCACCTCCACAGCAGCTTCTTCCGCGCCAACATCCTCGACGACAGCCGCCCAACAACCACCGCCGCCAAAGAGCACCCTCGCCGACTGGGCCGTGACAGAGGAAGACGAGTGGCGCTACAGCGTCACCGCAGGCGCCGGTGCCGGTGCCGGAGGCCATCAGCGCGGCGGCCGCAGAAAGAAGAAGAAGAAGGGAAACAACGACCAGCCCGCCGAGACCAATTGGGACGACATCTACGACCCAACGAAGCCCACCAATGTCGAGGAGTACCTGCGCAGCGACGAGCGGATCCACGAGGTGCAGGAGTGGAAGAGGCTGCTCTACCGCCACCGCAGACGCAAGAGTCTAAGCGATGACAGCGACGAAGAGACGGAGCGCCGGCCGGCGATGAGTGAGTCTTCCCCCCGCCTCAATCTTCTTTGCGCAGAGACGGCACGTTACTTAAACGCTCTCCTCAGATCAGTTCGCCCCTCCAGCCGAGTACTCCTTCGTGCCCCCGCCTCCAACATCACCACCCCCAGCCGAACCACGAGCTACGGAAGCAGCAATCGGAGACGACGCATATGCCCGCCATCAAGCTCTCTCCGCGTCCGCACCACCTCCTCCCCCTCCTCCCCCGGCAGTGACCGACGAAGCAACGATATCCCGTGCACCCGTCCGCTATACTCCATCCTCCACCAAGCAACCGCCCGCAGACGAAGAAGACCCCTCAGACCCAGACTCCCCACCACCAACCCTCGGCCTCGGCGCCAGCAGGGCACCACCACCACCGCCACCGCCCGCATCAGAAGAAGCTCAGGCCCCGCGATCCTCCCGCCCAGGCCAAGCCGGCTTCGCCCAACGCCTCATGAGCAAGTACGGCTGGACAAAGGGCTCCGGCCTGGGCGCAGACGAGTCCGGCATCGTCAACCCGCTGCGCGTACAGGTCGAGAAGCGCAAGAAGAAGTCGGACGCCGAGGGCGGCGGGTGGGCTGAGCCGGGCAACCGCGCCAAAGTCATTGGCGGGAAGCGCAAGGACGAGACCGAGGGCGGCGGCGGCGGCAAGTTTGGCGGGCCCATGAGCGAGGTCATTGTTCTGCAGCGCATGCTGGATAACATGGAGGACCTGCAGGGCGAGATCGCCAATGGGCTGGGGCAGGAGATTGGCGAGGAATGCGGTGAAAAGGTAAGTGATCCATGCTTCAAGCTCTCCTGGAGCGACAGAAAGGGACCCTGCCTGCTTTGTGTACCCAAAGATGAAGAATATCACTTGCCGTTTTCCCAAATGCTAATTACGTCCTCTGTTATAGTATGGCAGGGTCGAGCGATTATACATCGACGTTGAAAAGAGGCAGGTCTTTATCAGGTTTACCGACCAAGTCTCTGCCCTTCGTGTAAGTCTTTCGCCTCCCGGCCACGTTCCACACACAGCAGGGCGTTTTCTAACATGATCACTAAAATAGGCGGTCAATGAGCTGGATGGACGCGTATTCAACGGCAATGTTATAGTGCCAAAGTTCTTCGATACTGAGAAGTTCGATAAAGGTATCTACCAATGACGTAGAATATG